TATCAGTTACTTATTTTATAAACGTATACTGTTTTGTGTATTAATTTCTATAGATAAAAATATATCTAAGCCGAGTATGTATAACTGAATATATTCACACGCGAAAGTATACACGATACAAAAATCAGACGGATATCTCTGTATCTATCGCTTAGAAACATGATCAAACGTCGTTGGAAACAAATTTTCGACATTGTTCGGCGGATTCATTATCCACGAAGTTGCGTCTCGACAACAACTGTTACCCGACGGTGGTGGTTGAAGGCGTTGATAGTTGCGGTTGATGACTAGAATAGCGCATACTGGTAGCAGCTGTCATTACCCAGAGGCGAGCTTGCTCGTGACTAATCCTGCATGCCGATTCACCGTAACCTAGCCTACGAACCTGCCTCTATACATACATATATATGTGCATGTACACGATTAACGTGCTAGGTTACCCTAGGTTGTCATCCTGCCGCAAGGAAACCAAATCGATAACGCGCGTGCTACACGTGAGCGACCCAGTAACGCGGTATCCGCTTTGTTTCCATCTCTTCGGTAAACAATCAAAATTTTTTGAATATCCTTAAAAAAAAAAGCATTTGCGCGAATTTTGTAAAAACTGTGTGTTGTTCTCCAATTATCCAATTCCAAAATGACGATTATTTCGCCTTATTCACTGTTAAATTCATAATGTCAAATTATACCCAATTCTTAGTTAATTTTAATCATTTCTAGTAAGTCGCGCCACTGCTTTTACTTAATATGTTAATTTAACTAAAATGATGGAGTTAAACGACTCAAGAGAATGTATTAAATTTGAGACAAATTAATTATTTACTAAGCGCATATATCAATATGAATGTTGTTTACTTTGAAACTAATCACAGAAATAGATCAATTTAGATTTTGGCAAATATGGAAGTTAAAAATCACAAAATGCTATTTAACTCAAAGGATTGGATTACCATATTGTTAAGCCTTTAATATTTAACAATTCGCCAGCTTCTCTTTGAAAATTACTTTGAAATTAATCGATACTCGAAATTTCATGCATTTTAAGAGACAAAAAAGTTTAAAATAAGAAGAAATGTTTCGATAACATAAATGAAAATGACTCGATTAGTGAATTAATTTAATAAATAGAATTAATAGATTAAATGTCTTCAAGTTTATCTATTGATATCTTTTCTTGTTAAAATACAAATTTTTTGTATAAATTAATTAAAGTAATTAAATTAATCAAGATGAAATTTAAATAGAAATTCAGTGTATAGTCGCGATTTGAGCAGTATCCACGTCAATTACAGATGAGTAAACGCGAGATAATGTTCGAGAAACCAGAGTGAGAGACGCCTAATTTGCATAGCGGCTTTGCAAGTAGGATCGAAGGATTCGTCGAGCGATGCTTTTTTGGCACACGTCGCGTTACATTATATAATTCAACCGGAAAATTCAACGAACGCTCGCTTCAAGTTTCAATGTATTTTCCTTTCCCTCATTTACTTGGGTAACATTTCTACTGCGAATCCGTCTTCTCTTGCTCCTCCTGCTCCCTCTCCCTCTCCCTCTCCCTCTCCGCCCTTGGTTGAGATATTTCCAGCGCGTAATGTAATCCGCTTTACCTCGACTGTGCGCGCGGTTGACATATTTTTTCTCCCTTCGTCGTCTAAAGTACGTATGCTGCCATACAATGTTCTAAGGAGTCTTTCCCGCTTTTTCTTTCCGCCCGGTAATACCGTCCCGGCGAATGTAACGCAATATTTTCATTGCACTCTTTGCTCGCGGCTACGGAAATGAATATCGTCTCTTTGCCGATATTAAAGTCAAATCAGCGGGAAAACGTCGGGCTAATATTACCATTTCCAACGAGCCGTTTGATGCGAAGAAAAAAAGCCGTCCTGGCGGTGCGATGAGCTTTATCTTCTCCGGATGTTTCTGCGGATACGCTGATTCGTCCCAGCTCTCCTTCGTTCTACCTCGCACGATGTGACATCGCAGAGAAATTCGATTTCGATTCTGTACGAATAACGAAAATTAATCACATTGGAGCCTCGATCAAGCATTTCTATATTATTTTGTTATTAAAAAATTCAATATTGTCAAAAAAAAAAAGGCAGCTGTACGTAATATGATTGAAACTACGATCCACTTGATGCTACAAATATTCCGAAGTATCTTTCTGTTGGTCAGTTGGTGAACTTTTTTCTTCCGTTTATAGTCAGTCAAATGCTTCAAAGCATTCGTAGCGTCGTCAAGTCGACCCGCATCTTTAGAGAGTAACTTATCCCTGATACAAAACGTTTCTCCTATCTACGGCTACGGCCCGTTTTATCGTATTCGGCTACAAATACGGTACGTGTAACGCTCAATTCCGACCGTGCAAGAATGGCTTTACGCACGACGGAAAGGCGAAACTCTTCGGCGATTCTCTTCTCTCCGGTGCGCCGGAGCCTCGCCGCGCGTAATTGTGTACCTTGCGCTCTTCGATCAACGTCCGGTAACGAGTTGACATACCGCGCAAAAACGCGGATCGATAGCGTGTGCATTACGGCCGTGTGTCCATCCGTTACGATCGCGTGTATACGTGCGTATACGTGTGAACGCGCGCGCGTCCCTGCTACGTCCACTGCGTGCTGGTGTAGTCGCAGACGAGCACCACCCGCTGTAGGTGATCGTCACCGGGTGACGACGAGCGCGAGCACGCGACTGAATTTCGCGGAGCGATAAGCTTTCGGCGAAGAGGGCATTTTAGTTGACGGCAAGCTGACAGCTTCCTCGAACGGAGACTCTCAGAGATTAATTTTATTTTTGGACTTCCCGCGCCGCCACGCGGGACATTCGCAGAGGCATCATCGGATCTGAGTATTTTGCGATCTAAAATCAAAGCGTTCTATTCTTCTGTCTACTTTCATAATAAAGAACACTCTCTCGTTTTAATTTAAAAAAAAAAAAAGAAAGTAAATCTCCATCTGCAATCATATTTTCACTCTTTCCGTCCGTCATCTAACAATAAGTCCTTCTTTATTCAACCCAAGTTTTTTTTACTGTTCTATAAAGCTTTCAAAAAATGTGGACAAATTCAGAGTTACTTTTTAACGGTTTAATTACATTACCAAACAGGTTTTTTTTTTAACTGGAATTAAAGCCTGTATGTAATAAAAATTGAAATATGGGCAAAAATGAGAATAAAATTTGAAAGGGAAATTTCGTTTGTACCAAAAAAAAAAAAAAAAAACCAGACTGCAGATGAACGGTTAAACATGGCCTTCTGTTTTAATCTTGTAATCTAACATTAAATAGTCCTCATGCAAATAGGACATCATCGCCGGCACGCCGGAAACGTGCCGCGTATTTACATCGGAACTAATTCGCATTATACGGAAATCTGTCGTCGAACCTTATGATACTATTTTTTATCTTGCCGGCACTTTGCATCACGCCGCCCCGACCGTTGTTTACGTAATAAACATTCTTCTTCGTGATAAAGAGCGCGCTTAGGCGGGCGGAAGAGGTTTCTTTCAGAGAGCGTTTCTTCGGAGAACACGTGGTTTCGAGGTGGGAAGGTACTTTGTCTTTGCACCATCGCGCGTGCAGTGTTGGATGCTACGGCGTGAAGATCTTTTTTTTTTATAAATCGCTTTTATAGCATGCTATCAGGTCGCTGTATAAATAATATCCATTTATCCCCCGCAACGCTAATATTTACAGCGAGTTTATTTACACCTTTTTTCGCTTAAGCACCTATAATGCTACTAATAACCAGATAGGGTATAACCTACTAATTATCCAATATTTTTTAATAACACTTTTTGCATTATTCAATCGTATAATGTATTATCTATGAGGCAGGTTGTTAAATTAAATTTCGTTACAAATCCTGGTTTGTTAAATTCTCAGAAATAAATTTTATAGACTATGTACGATTTTTCTATGAGCAACTTGTACAACAAGTTTAACTTTCTTCGTTAAATCGTTTCATAGGACTGCAACCTTCGGTATCAGCGAGACAGTTTCGATTATGAAAGAACAAATAACGTAACCAATAAAACAATGAGCAAGGAGCAAGGTTGTATCAATTGTATCAAATACTTTCCTCCACGTGCGACCAAAAGACGATGCATAATTCGTGCACTCCTATCTTTATCTCATTATCTTATAGTTCCCGTCACTCTTATCAAGATGGAGAAAAATAAAAACGTCTTTCCCCTTCCCCCCCCCCCCCCCCCCCC